TTTAACATAGTCATTCTCCTGAGAGGTGTTCTAGGCAAAGTAGAACAATATTATGTTAAAAAAGAATATCAAATGCGTGGAGCGCCTCATTGTCACATCCTCCTATGGATTGAAAATGCTCCTGTTGTCGGTATTAATTGTCCAGAAGAAGTCTGTTCTTTCATACAAGACAGGATTACCTGTCATATACCAGATAGTAATACGTCGCCTGATTTAAATTTTTTGGTAACAAAATACCAAATGCACAAGTGCAGCAAATACTGCAAGCGAAATATTAAAGTCGGCAAGACCGATGCCGATTTGATTTTCCTAGACCAGTACGAGATAGTATTTGCATCAATGATGTAGAAAACAGCTTGAAATCATGCAATAAAATATATTATCTGAAACGAAATGAAAAAGAAGTTCGAGTCAACGTCTATAATCCTTTACTGTTGAAATTGTGGCGTGCAAATATGGACTTGCAATACATAGCAGAGAGGAGTCTTTCCTTAACAGAGTATGTAACTGGATATGTCACCAAAGGAGAAAAGAGTCATGCACAGGACTTATGGGATGAAGTCAGCAGCTGTGACAACATATACAGCAGGCTTTGGAAAATTGGCCAAAAATTACTTCGAGCTAAAGAAGTAGGACTATATGAAGCTAGCGATCTTCTTCTTGGTGAAAGTTTATACATGAAATCAGTAACTGTACAGTATGTTAATGTGTACTTGCCTCACAAGAGGAGCCGAAAAATCAAAAACTATTCATATTTAACTAAAATGGATCAATCTTCGAAAGACATCTTTAATCCTAGCATAATTGAAGACTTTTATCCAACAAGACCGAATAACATGGAAGATGAATCTCTTTATGAATTTGTTGCCAATTACAAATTTGATAAAATAGGAGAAAATGGAGAAAGAGAATACAAACTTCGATCAAAGCCAGTCCTTCCAAACCATAGGAAATTTAATCCTATGCAAGAAGCAGAAAGATACGATTTTTATTACTCGCTAATATTTTTATTTGTGCCATTTAGAGACAAGAGCACACTTGTAATGGAAGGAGAAACAATGGAAGAAGCTTTTATGCGTCACAGAGAATCATCTATACGTGGCATTGAAAATCATTTCAACAAACTACAGAAATTATTAGAAGCTGATTGAAATTGGAAGAAAATAGTTGATGCAAGAAATAAAGCTGGTTTTACTGAAGAACTTCCTGATAACAAGGAAGATGATGAGCCTCAATTACTAGGTGAAATAATGGAAGCAGTAGCTGATATTGCTGACATGCACATAAATGTACCTAATTTAACATTAGAGCAAAGAGAGGCAATGTTTAATGTAGATCAAAAAAGAATTTTTGATAAAATTAAGAGCCATCTTATAAGTCAGAAAGAACGTGAAGACTTATTAAAGAATGAGTCTTCAAGACTACTAAGATTAGATAATATCAAACCGCTAAGAATGTTTATTAGTGGTGTAGGTGGAACTGGTAAATCGTTTTTGGTAGAGGCAATAAAATGCCTAGTGGATGACATATGGCATCCAAAAAGTGGTGAAATTATGTGTGCTATAGTAGCACCAACAGGTATAGCCGCATTTAATGTAGGTGGACTAACAATACATAGATTATTTTAGCTACCGATAGAGCATGAGAGAAAGACAGCTGGATGTTGGGCTTTGAGTAAAGAAGCTCAGAAAAGAATAAAAATGACACTTAAAAATTTAAAAATTATAATAGTAGACGAGGTATCTATGGTATCCAATCTAAATCTAGCATACTTACACATGCGCTTAGAAAATATATTTGGAACTGATGAATGGTTTGGATCCAAAAATATTTTATTTGTAGGTGACCTCTTACAATTGCCACCAGTTAATGGTAGGCCAGTATTTAAAAAAATTAGCAACAAACTAGTAAAAACTAGACTTGGAGCAGCAAATACAGTTGACATATGGAAAGAAACAGTAGAATATAATGAACTTACAATCAACGAACGACAAAAAGGAGACGAAACTTTCTTTAAGATGCTTGATTCTGTTAGGCATGGATGAAACTATTGATACGCTTAAGAGTCGCGTATTTAAGGTTTCGATACAAGAAAAATATAAGGAATTGGAAAGTAAAGGAACAAATCCTCCAATTTGCCTATTTTCTAAGGTAGGCGCCTGCCAAAAAATCAATGAATTAATGTTAGAAAGTCTAGAAACTGAGAAAATAGAATTAGCATGTGTTGATGTTGTCGATGAAAGTGGCAGCACAGCAAAATTTGACAAAAAACAAGAAAAAAAATTAGAGAAACTAAAAGATCAACCAAGCAAAACAGCTGGTTTAGAAACTGTATTGTCTGTAGCAGTGGGCTGTAGAGTAATGCTAAGACGTAATATTGATGTGACTAGGATTAGTTAATGGTGCCATTGGTACAGCAATGGGTATTTATGCTACACGTATATCAATCAAATTTGATCATATTGATGTACCTTGTGACATAGAAAGGGTTACATCTAGATTTATGCCATCTAAGAATTTGTGTACACATAGGAAACAGTTTCCACTTATACATTCTTATGCTATTACAATACATCAATGTGAGGGCCTCTCACTAGATACAGCCATTATTGATTTATCTACTGATGTTTTTGGGGATGGTAAGGCATATGTTGCATTGTCTCGTGTACGCACATTAAATGGAGTACATTTATTATCATTCGATCCTCTCTCTGTTAAAGTGAGTAATCTGTGCATTAATGAAATTAACAGGCTGAGAAGTAAATTTCGAAAGACTTACCTCAAATCAAGAAAAGTAAAGGAAAAAAGAGAAAGATTCAAGTGACTGGTGTAATTGATGATGGTGAACCTTGTAGTAAGAATGCCAAGGTGTCTGTAAGTCATGTATAAAGTACTAGTAACAGTACTGTTAGTAGCAATAAACGAAAGAGTACTGATTTACAAAACTCTAATCGCCCCAATAAGAGTAAAATATGTGATGATAATGCTTTAAATAAGCCTTGCACCAAAAAAAGAAAAGTTGATGTAGACAGTAGTGCTGACAATAGTGCTTTGGCATTGCCTCGCCCAAAAACAGATGATAAATTAATTGTTTCAATTAATTTGAAAGACCTAAAAACCAAATTTAATGTCAAAATGAGGATAGTTGTAGTAGTCTCATTGTATCTATAAAACTTTCAAACATTAAATTAAAGACAAGTAATCCAAAAAAAGATGATGTTGTCATCTTTACTTATGAAGAGCCTCCCAATCCAGATAATGTAAGGAAGAGTCAAAGGGATTATGTTTATTATCCTGCTAATGAAGAAGTTCAAAGCAGGTTGTGTGAGATATTGAACCTTAAGTTTGTAACAGCTGCTAGAATCTTACCTGGCAGTCCAACAACACCATTGTCAGATGAAAGAGTTCCTAATAGTACTCTTGATGTCCCTGGTGATGGGAACTGCTTATTTTATGTCCTTTCATATCTCATTACTGGGTCCATTTCTCAGCATTATGAATTACGTAGAGCAATTGTCAGTAATATGCCAAACTTTGAAGAAGAATTGTTTAATAGTACATTAAGTGCAACCAGATATTCAAGCATATATGATTACATAAATAAGTCAAAAATGTATAGAAATTGTGTGTGGGCCACTGACACAGAGATTATTGCACTAACAGCATTATTAGGTATAACCATATATTCATATTCACTCACTCCTACTTTTGTTGGCTGGGCTAGATATGGAACCCAGGAGTTGTATGGCATTCCTTGTGATACTACTACACCTGCTTTGTATTTGAAGCATGTTGGTACTAATCATTTCCAAGCAGTTAAGTCTATTAATATTTCTTAGGCATTGATTGTTGATGGAAAGTGGGTATGGTGAATGGGAGGTCCATCATCTTTAAAACATTGGTTGTTTAATGTGACTTTTATTTCACTGCATGTGCAATGTGAGTTTGTGTGAAAACCATGTGCATATCCACCCATTATTGCTCAGTATAAAGTGATCAAACTGCATTCAGGATGTGAGATTAATCAATGTATAACAGTGAATATTGAGTACGTGTTGCTATAATGGACAGGGAGAGGGTGTGAAAGAGGTTTACTGGTCATTAGAGTTTAGCATTGATTCAATTTTGTGTGACTATAATTTATGTAGGACAGGGGGTTAGGAAGGGAGGAAGCTGTCATTATCAATTCCCAATCTTGTTTGTGGCTTGTACTACATGTTTATAACAAATATCATGTGCTTATGGATCAAGGGCACTGCTGACAAATTTTGAAGGACAAGAAAAATTTAGAGTAACAATGAAAGTTCTCATTATACATGTAGTATCATTCAAACAGTGATTTGGTACATATATTAATGATCATGATACATGTAAATGCTGCCATCAATGCTGTGCGCATTACATAAATGCTTGCCAGCTGATGTTGTGCATAATGCTGCCATCAATGCTGTGCGCATTATTAAGTTAATGCTTGCCGGCTGATGTTGCGCATTTGAATGATGCTGCCATCAATGCTGTGCGCATATTAAATGCTTGCCAGCTGATGTTGCGCATCTTTTGTTGATGATTGTTGTAAATATGTGCATGTTCACATTAACAAAAAATATTGTTTGCACATTGGAAATTCTTCATGTGCACAATGTTATTTTATATTAAGCAGGTCATGAAAGTATCTTAAATGAGGATATCATTAGTAAGCAATATTATGTCTAAAATACATGCCATGTATGATCCAATCAGAAACATTGTAGATGCTACCATTATCATTATTAGTTAGTATGTCACATACATACTTTTTATAGGTACTTACGTACTTGGCACAAGGACTACAATGTGGTGTTAAAGAGTGAGGTTTGCTGTGATTGATAAGTGCCATTGTTATTATTAGCCTGAGAGTTTACATTGCTTGCTTTTGATGTTTCTATTACTATGCTTTACAAGTAATTACAGCTGGAAATGATTTGCTGATTCAGCAATACTTTTGCTTGATATTGGAATGTGAAATATAATTAAAGGTAATTCTGGATTTAGATTGTTGAAAATAAATTAATTTCTTTCTTAATGTTTTGTTGCAGCTCGTTGATCAGTAGTTGTATCATGCAGTAGTAGGTGCCAGTTTACATCTGTATAGGTTTCATATTATTGTAGTCTTAGCAATGGAATATGTAGTAAGACGGAGAGTATTGTGAAATGTCTTATGTATTTTTGTTATAGGTTATGATTCTAGGTTACATACTGTAGATTAGCTTGATGATTATAATGGCCACTGTAAGTACTTTCTTTAGTCAATATAAATGAATGCTTGCCAATGCATCTTTTATTGTGTGCCATTAAAAATACAAAAATAATTGTTTGCACATTGGAATGTATTCATGTGGTCTATTAATGTGTATTTCCACAATGCAGGTCTCGTAAACTGCGGAAAAGTTTGAGAGCTGTGAGCGGGAAAGTGGCAACTGAAGCTGAATGTAAACTTAAATAGTTTCAGAACCGGACATAGATATTAGTAATGACAACTAATGATTAATAATTATGAGTTAGGCTATGAATGTAATTAATGATTCAAAAATTCAAAAACTGTTTTTATAATGCGGTGGATCTTCTTATGGTTCTTATTTCAAAATTCTTTTCTTCCATTAATGAACTGATACCTAAGGCAAAAATTAAAATTATCAATAAAAAGGATTATTAATTAATAACATTTAATAAAAAGTATGGAAACAAGTAAATAAAACAAGCGTAACAGTGTAAAAAATATTCCTATAATTGATTTCACCACCTTGCAAGTATAACTTCGTCATTATTAAGACTTATAAAGGTTCTCTCTACCTTATAATGCTTCTAGAGAAGTCTTTAGACAGTATCTCTATGCTCTCTTGCTGTTAGAAAGCTCTTAACTTTGTCCCATGTGTAAGCCGCCATTTTGTTTGCCGTGGCCACACCCACCCGTAAAGGAGCGTGGGCGGATGGTTGCTAAGGCTTGTTATTTCTCCAATACAACGTGTATAGAAGAAATGTAAGTGTGGACATACAAATAAATATATATATATATATACATAGCGCGAAGGTGAAATCAATTATAGGAATGACCTGGGGGCTACGCCCCCAGGTCGTTAAAAATTTGTATAAATAAGAAAAAGTAGGGTTGTCAAAAAATAAAAGAAACAAGGGGGTTGAGTTCAACTATAATAATAATTAATAGTTCAATTAATAATAATTAATAAAAAAATAATTTATTCATGAAAATAATACAAAAATTTCAAACCCTACTTTGCAGAAAATGGTAACAGGCAGACTACGATATAAATAGAATTTTAATAATAATTATGCCTCTGTACCTATTGATTGCTCTACTACAATACTATGATGTAAATCAATTATTGTAATAAATATAAATAAGACTTTTCAGCTAGTATTGATTGAATAACGTGTCATCGCAACAAAAAAAAATCTAAATTATGGATAGGCTAAAGCATTCTTTGAATTTTGGGATTCAGTACAAAATTAAAAATTAAAAATATTAATACATATACTTGTTAGACATTGTAATTGCATGGACTCGCCACGTTATCATTTTCTGCGAAGTAGGGTTTGAAATTTTTGCATTATTTTCTTGAATAAATTATTTTTTTATTAATCAAAGTTTATTATTATTATTAATTGAACTATTAATTATTATTATGGTTGAACTCAACCCCCTTGTTCGTTTATTTTTTGACAACCCTACTTTTTCTTATTTATAAAAATTTTTTTTATTTACTTGTATAATTGTAAGCAATGAAATTAGAAAGTATAATAATAAGACACAATTCCTTAATTTCTCAATTACTGCAATAGATACTGGTTCAACTTACTGAATTCAAATTTTATATTTAATTTGATTAAATCTGATAGACCTGTAGGTCCAGTCAAGTTTTTCTTTTAACAATTTAATGGCTACTGCTAGCTTTTGGGAATAAAAAGAGACAATATTGGAAGCAGCTGATACTTAGTTATGACAATATGTGTCATTTGAACAGCCTCAAAATTGCCAAAAAGTTGTTACATTTGCTAGGTTAGTAATATATACAATTATACCAAAAGTGATTCATAATCGTTTGATAAATATGTGGTGTCCTTAGACTTAAGCACACACTTACACTAGTTACCATAATTATCATCATTATTTCTTATTCATTCATTTACTAATCATTACATATGTCTAAAGAGAAGTTACAGTATTATTGATCATTACAGGTGATTAACAATTCATATGCTTGATATCAAGAAAATAATAGACGAACTTCTCAGTAACCATGTTTATCCCAGGTGTAAGAAGATGCATGATCCTAAGAATATCATTCCAGATGACAGTTCATTTAATACAATGTCATATGAACAGGCATTTGCTTGGCTGTCACGCTACAAGATTTTTTGCTCCATGCCAAAAATACATCACTTCTATTTGCACCATATGGCAAAAAGACGCAACAAATGTATATGTTGGTGTTAATTATGTGGATGGCACACTGTATCATGTTGACTGCAATATATTCATTTCAAAGTTACATCAACAATTGATGTAACTCATGCATGCGCACACACTCCTTTGTATTTAGCTCATAATAACATTACAATGTGTAACAACAGCCATTGTGAATTATAATTGTTGCATAGATATGGTAATTGAAATTAATTTTTGGCCTCGCCCAGCTTTGTGTAGGCAAAGACTAGGTACTATGGTTCTTATAACTATTACTTTGGTTTCACGTGACCTAGTCTGGTGCCCCACCCTTTCTTTTTCACACAGCTAATAAGGAAGGGTACAAAACTATATTGTATTTGACCAGGCATAATCCACTATTAACCATAATTAACATTAACCACTGATAACCATGCATAACTACTGTTAACCATAAATAACCACTGTCAACCATGATTAACCACTGACAACCATGCATAACCACTGATAACCATGAATAACCACTGATAACCATGAATAACCACTGATAACCATGCTTAACCATAATTAACCACTGTTAACCATGATTAACCTCTGTTAACCATGATTAACCATAATTAACCACTGTTAACCCTAATTAACTACTGATAACCATGCATAACCACTGTTAACCATGATTAACCACTGTTAACCATGCATAACAACTGTTAACCTCTAAACACCTCTAAGTCAAAATACATGATATTTTCCCTTTCACGTCACTCAGTCTTTCATACTCTTCCACTCCTTTATCTAAATCAATCACTTATTGATTGTGCATTTTCTTATAAATATCTTGGCTTAATCTTTACATCTACATTATCCTTGAACAAACACATCGTTCATGATCAAAAAAGCTAGAAAAAAACTTGGACTAACATATTGCAACTATTACAGGCATTGATCTACGGAGACTATTCTTCATCTATGTGTGTGACACTAGTTTGGCCAATTTTGAAGTATGCTTCCTCAATTTGGGATCCTTTCGTGACAAGTCTCATCACAACTGAGGCTGTTTAGCATTTCCGCTTCAAAGTAGCCTTAAAATTATGGTCTTTCCCATACCAACATCTCCTAAATGTCTCACCTTATTTCCCTGTCTCATTGGCGATATAAATTTAAAATTGTCCAGCTTACGATGAATCAAAATCTTTCATTTACCAAAATCCATCCTCTACAATTTAAACCTGCCTCCGGCTATTATTTTTAATCTAATAATAACTGCAACTTTTCTTACATCACTTGCAAGATATCTACTTATTGAAATTCATTTTACCCACAATTAGTCAATGGAACTATCTTCTTCCTCCCCTGAAACTTTCTCTACCTTTCTTATATTAAATTTTTCATCGATAATCATCTATAATACTGTACAATATTTCAATAATTAGGTGTGCTATTATTAGAAAATGTTTTACATCCTTCTTTGTATCTGACTAAAGACATACTTGCCTTTAGTAATGAAAGTGTACTGTTAGTTCTCCTAGTTCTAAAGAAGACTTAAATGGATCACTAGTGTCCACTTCATATGATTGACAAAATGAATATTCAGGTAGAGATTTTGTATGGAGTAAATTGAGTGGTGATTGAGTTTCCTGCTTGTCATTAAACATATGTTACATCTGTACATTATTTCTATTACTCTACTTTTTGTACAGTCCTCTTTATTCTCATACGTAGACCACTCTGAGGGACCAAATGCTTAAATTTATCAATTTCTGACACCATCATAATCATTAATCTAAAGCATATGACTTAACATGAAACGACAAAATACTATAAATATGTGACCGTAATTAACAAAAGGTACCTTATGGCGGGTTGTGAAATTTGTCATTCTATCCTAAGAAATCCAACTTCCTGAGCCCCATTTATCATAAAATTACTCCACAGGATGCAAAAAGTTACCATGAAACTTTTAGAAATGATGATTGTCTAACAAAGCACTCACAGGTTGATATTTTCCATTATAACAATCAATTTTAAAATCCGCCATAAGGGCCCTTTTGTCAATTATGGTCACATATATAATTATATAACTTTTCCACAATTTTTAACCAAATCCATTTGCTCTTAAATAATAAAACACATCTTCCACTGTGTCAATGAAATTGACTGTTTCTGCCGGAACTAAAGAAGAATCAAAGCAGAGCATAGAAGAAGAGTTTGAAGATGAGCCTGACGAGGTAGCCACCGCAGTGGTAGATCTACATTTGTCTAATAGATATCTCCGTGATGCTATAGGTACAAAATAGTATTGTGTTGCTAGGCCACCATGATTAAATTCCTTGTTTCTCAGACTCCACCTAGATGCGGGATGGTGCTAGTTATTTATTATAAACATTTTTAATTAATAAAAAAAAATTTTTTTCTCAACAATTTTTACGTCTGTCTCAAAAGTCAAGGCTTTGTGCATTCCTCACACTGATGAGAGTAACTATCATTACTGTCACATAAAGCAGCACAATATATACATATGTGACCATAATTGACAAAAGGTACCTTATGGCGGGTAGTGAAATTTGTCTTTCTAGCCTAAGAAATCCAACTTCCTGAGCCCCATTTATCATAAAATTACTCCACAGGATGCAAAAAGTTACCATGAAACTTTTAGAAACAATAGTTCACTAACAGAGCACTCACAGGATGATATTTTCCATTGTAACGATCAATTTTAAAATCCGCCATAAGGGCCCTTTTGTCAATTATGGTCACATATGGATTCAAAGCCTGCTGAATAATATAGCTTTTCCATGGGATCATAGCATTTATGAGACTT